ATATATATATATATATATATATATATATATATATATATATATATATATACTGGACACTCGTGCTATTTTCGAAGGGCAACGAGAAGGGTTGGGGGAGGGTATGTTTGGCAATTGCTCGTTTTCTCCCGTTTAAATACGCGTTATGGGGACCCCGGTGTTTTTCGATCGTCAACGACAATGTTCTACTCGGTTCTTTCATTTCTAGTTTCATTTCTCGGGGAAAAAGATGGAAAAAGATATTAGTCTTCCATAGCACGATGTTACACATTAAGTATTATAGGGGGTAAAATCTGCGTCCTTGGGTGTTCGTTATTTTTTTTTTTCTCTTTCTTTTTTGGTAGAATGCTATGATTAGCGGCGAGGAAACGTAAAAATTAGAATATAAAGATGCGATTGTGTGACACTCTTGGCGAAGGCGAGTTGAAGAAATGAATGATTAATAATACCCTATATTTTGTGTGAAATTGAATTTGAGAATATGTAGAAAATTTCATCGACCCGAAACGTGTAAATCCAACAAATATAAATCTATCTGCTACGAATGTGTATTTAATATATATTTGCATACACATATTTATACGTGATAATACAGTAGACAACCTCTTAACGATAAACGAATAGCCGATTAATCTGACAATATTACTGATACGTTGCAAAGAAAATAAAAAGTAATATATAAATCCAAGTAAATAAAATCTAGACTGCAAACAAATGAATAAATTAGCTATATAAGTAAGCTACAAACAAGTACAGCATAAAACAACAGAATATAATAAATAAGAATAATAAAATATAAACGTAACTGAAAGTAGATTAAAACGGGACTAGATCAGAGGTAGTCTATTGTATATAAGAATCCAAGTAAATGCAAACGAGATTAATTAATCTCAGAAAACAGAAATCAACAACGAACCTTCGTCAGAAGCGAGTCCGACCGGAAAGAAGCTCTGGATCGTCACAGACCGAACGAATTGAGGTACTTAAAATAAAAATAATAAAAAAAAAAAAAGAAGATAAAAAAAATTTAAAAAAAAAAAGGATTTGTAGTGATGCACAATTACTACTATCTTGCAGGACTCTTCGGGAGAAGATCGTCTAATCAAAATGGAACGATATAATACAACTGCTGGAATTAATTCGACTACGTGTCGTATATCATGTCGTCGTGATTGTATATATTCCTT